GGAAAATGAGCACAGTAAGGGTAGGTAATAAGAGTCCCTAGCACATCTGACCAGCGTTCCCTCTAAGCTGAGTTAGTGTGAGCTAGCTCACAGTTTTTTAGCCCCTGGCTCACACATTTTGTCTTAGCTCAGGAAGGATGGCTCCAGAGCAAACTAATTGATGCAGTATCCAAATCGCTCGCTCACAACTCTAATGCCAGCGGCTCACAAAGTAGAATTTTTGCTCAAAAGACTCTACAGCTTAGAGGGAACATTGCATCTGACTATATTGTACCTAGCCTTTTCTAGGTACCTGGCCTTAGGGTTGCCAAGTCTTACCTCAGTTTCAGTGGGGGAGTCCCTGGCCCCATCCTGGAGTTCTTCGGTGCGCGTGTGAAGCGTGCGAGCTGCGATGACATCACCCGGAAGTGACGTCATCGCGTCGGGCACGTTGGGGGCGGGACCACTATCATTCGAGGGGAAACCATAGAGTTTTCCCTTGAATGATAGAGCGTCCCCCTGCAATGTGCCTGGGGTGATGACGTCACCTCTGGGTTTCCTTTGGATGAGGGATTCCTTCTTCTGCAGCAGCCTCGCCAGCTCTGCTCCCTAGGAGTGAACCCCCCACCCACTTTGGGCCAGGCCTTTTATTCCTTCTTCCCAGGCAACACCCTCTACTATTCTGCTGGTGTATGTTTCCACTTCAAATCCCCTGTTAGCCAATCGTAGGGTCCAAAGGTTGACCTGGGATATGTAGGCCCTGAGAGCTACTCTAGTACAGGCTTCCTTGGAGCCACTAGGCCTCCCTAGAACAGTACTACTATAGGCCTAGGATCATGATACAAGCTGAAGAACAAAATTGGTCCACCTAAATCAACTAAAGTTAATCCGTAGGGTCCAAAGGTTGACCTGGGATATGTAGGCCCTGAGAGCTACTCTAGTACAGGCTTCCTTGGAGTCACTAGGCCTCCCTAGAACAGTACACCTATAGGCCTGGGTTATGATACAAGCTGAAGAACAAAAGTGGTCCACCTAAATCAACTAAAGTTAATCAACTAATCAACTAAAGTGATCTGAAAGGAGAAAGGACATATAAAACTTGTCAGATCTACCTAGAAAACTGGATAAAATTGGAGTGATGGATAAGGAGCAGATGTCTTTATAAAATGAATGGTACAACAGCATGTTTAATTGTTTCAACCACATTTGATTGGCAAGGACAAAAACACTGAAAATACAGGGTGCGTTAATGTCTTCCAACTAGAAGTGCTGAAGATAAGGCATTACAGTGGGCCAAGGTGAAGGCTGAAGCTGTTCGATATTTAGGGAATTCTACAGAGTCTTGTTTGTATTTCCTACCTGGCTTCTCCTGTGTCCTTTAGAGGAGAAAACAACTACTGGCTACTCCTGAAAGCAACCTTTATCTTGCTAACTCACCATGCGGTAAAATCATACTGCCACAAATGCAGCAAGTCTCATCACTAACATAACTGGATAAACTACAGGATATTAAATTTTTTAGAATATATAGGACTGAAAATGCAGGAGAACTGTCAATTTCCATCAATTCCCCCTTCCTGCTTCAGACCCCTCCCTCCTCATGCCATTGGCTCAGAGTCCCCAAATCCCCAGGGGTAGCATTTTATGGAGCTAGAGAGCTGTAGTGGCGGAGAGGAGGGCAGGATAACAACAACAACAACAACAACAACAACAATAATAGCTATTAGATTTTTATCCCGCCCTCCTACCCTCTACTCCGCTGATTGAGAATTTAGCCTGGACCCAACCCATACCCTATTTTGTACCAGAAAATCCATGCAAGAAAAATTTCCTAGCCCAAACGTCTTCCATGTCTACACAAGACCCAATAAACCCACATGTGGCAACAACCTTAGACTCCATTAGTGAAAGAACGATAACCAAAATCTTGTCTTGTCTAAATGTTGTCTTTCAAAAAATCGTGCAATCCATCCCTAAGCATGCTAGAAGCATCACCTGCTCAAACATTGCTAATTAAAGTCTATAGAAAGAGGTACCACTGAAACAAAACAAGAAATCCCAGATGCTTCTGTATCGGGCAGAGTGCCAAGAAACTGAACAGAAAGGCATGCTAATGTTGATTGCCACTGAAATCCAGCATATTAGAAAAACATCTCTCATGCAGTAGTTTTCACTGGTCTGGTTTTTGAGGGAAAGATGGATGGGGACAGGGGGCAGGCCTTTGAGATGTGCAAAACCCAGCTGAGAAATGCCCTTAACCTTTCCAGAACTCTTAGTTTCCCTTGAACATCTTGAGGTGTCTTGTCCAAGAAGAGATCTCCACATTGGCCTCAGAGGCTGCTTTAAAGGAAATGTAACTGGCAACCTAGAGCTGTGTGAAGCCCCGTTCAGTATTCCAAGTGCCTTATCAGGGCATTTTTAGCTTCCTTGAACTTCTTCAGATGCATAAGAACATAAGAGAAGCCAATGTTGGATCAGGCCAATGGCCCATCCAGTCCACCACTCTGTCACACAGTGGCCAAAAATACTAGTTGCCATCAGGAGGTCCAGCAGTGGGGCCAGGACACTAGAAGCCCTCCCACTGTTGCCTCCCCCCCCCCAAGCACCAAGAATACAGAGCATCCCTTGCCCCAGACTGAGAGTCCCTATCTATACCTTGTGGCTAATAGCCACTGATGGACCTCTGCTCCATATGTTTATCCAATTGCCTCTTGAAGCCGTCCACGCTTGTAGACGCCACCACCTCCTGCGGCAGTTAATCACTCTTTGGGTGAAGAAGTACTTCTTTTTATCTGTTCTAACCCGACTGCTCAGCAATTTCTTTGAGTGCCCACGAGTTCTTGTATTGTGAGAAAGGGAGAAAAGTACTTTTTCTCGACCTGCATAATCTTATAAACCTCGATCATGTCACCCCTCAGCCATCGTCTCTCCAAGCTAAAGAACCCCAAGCGTTTTAACCTTTCCTCATAGGGAAAGGGTTCCAACCCTTTTATCATTCTAGTTGCCCTTTTCTGCACTTTATCCAATACTATAATATCCTTTTTGAGGTGTGGTGACCAGAACTGCACACAGTACTCCAAATGAGGTCGCACCATTGATTTATACAGGGGCATTATGATACTGGCTGATTTGTTTTCAATTCCCTTCCTAATAATCCCGAACATAGTGTTCACCTTTTTTATTGCAGTTGCACACTGTCTCGACATTTTCATTGAGTTATCTACCACAACTCCAAGATCTCTCTCTTGGTCAGTCTCTGCCAGTTCGGACCCCATCAACATGTATTTATAGTTAGGATTTTTGGCTCCAATGTGCATCACTTTGCACTTGGCCACATTGAACCCTATTTGCCACATTGACGCCCACTTGCCCATCCTCGGCAGATCCCTTTGGAGTGCCTCACAATCCTCCCTGGTTCTTACCACCCTGAACAACTTCGTGTCATCTGCAAAATTAGCCACTTCACTGCTTACTCCCAACTTGTCCTTTTATCCCATAACTATTGAGCTTACTTAGGAGTCTTTGATGAGGAACTTTATCAAAAGCTTTCTGGAAGTCAAGGTAAACAACA